TATGTATATATATATATAATATATTTTTATTATAATTATATATCATATTATATATGATATATAATTATATATGTATAATTTTATATACTACATTTATATCATGGATATGTATATATCAGCTGCACTTGCTATTGGAAGTATTTAGATTAATTAAGTTCATTAGCAAATAAATAAAATGGGGGAAAAGGCATAGAAAGCAACCATGGATGCCAGAGACAGTGTGGGAGGAGAACGAGACATGGCAGAGGGTGAGAGATAGGGAATCAAGGATGGCAAAAATAACAAAATATACAGGAAACAAGGAATGGAAAATTATTTGTTGATGATAATATGTATGTTGATGTGCTTGATTGAGCCAATATATGGTGTATTCTGGATAGGAAATCTCATTTTTTTTGCTGTAATGATATATAGTGAATAAATGTAAATAAACTTAAATAAAAAATAAAAAAATAAAAAATAAAGAAACTGAACAATAATGATTAAATAGAAAAAAGAACTATGAGTAAGCAGAAAGATAAGCACATAATTCAATAGAATAGAAAATTTCAAGTAGAGTAGAGGCATCTCAGGTGACAATTACTTTGAAATTGTTAAGAAATGTAATAAATCCTACTCTAAAGTACTTAGAACAGAAGAGACATGATGCAAATAATTGAATATATGTTAACAGGCTAAAAAGTCAACTAGGTGATGCTGAAGGAGCCCAGAAACTGACAACAGTAGGAACTACCAATGTTAGCTGAGAATGAAGGAGAAGAGGTGATATAAACCAGAGCCCAGAGTCACCTACATAAAGCTAGAACCAATGCAGACCTAGCCAGGAGGATCTGTACAAAGGCTAAGATATGGTGCAGTCACTTACGGAGACTTTTTCCAGAGAGACAGATGGGAGTCTGTCTGATTTTTTCCCATTTTTCTACCTCCAGTGTTCTCCTGGACCTTCCCAGGGGCAGAACCCCACTCAAATATCAGCAGACCTAAGAGTCTGAGAAATGCAACCTACAGCAATTGGCATCATGTCCTCTCTTTTATCCAACAGTGCAAAGCAGGGGCAGGTTAGGTAGAAAGTGGAACCAGGGGCAATCTTAAACTCGGCACAGACCCAGTTTGATGGCAGATGGTGGCAAGCATTCAAGAAACTTGATTTTTTTCTTTATTAAAGTGTAAGAATATTAGTAGAAAATGGATTTAATTACATGTTCAGTATGACTAGGGCTACAGTACATATGAAGAGAGGACTACTGAAGAGACTAGATATGTAAGTAAAGGTCAGATCATGGAGGGACATATATGCCATACTCAGGAGAGTCAATTCTAGCTTACAGAAGGTCATGATATGACCAGAAATATGCCTGGGAATGACAATTCTGCAGATGATAGGATGTGAGAGAAGAAATAATAATTCATTACTACTTATCTAAGGATGGTGTAGTAGAGACCTAACTTGGTAGAAATGTCTGTGAATGTTATTATTATAAACTTTATAGAAACTAGCATTATGATGATGCAATCTCCAAACCAATGAAGTTAATAAGATCCTACTCTGGTTGACAGTATTTTAAAAGTTCTTCCTCTTTTTTTTTTTTTTAATTTAAACATTACTTGGGCCAGCTGGTGGCATGGTAGTTAAAACAACCAGATCCCACAAGGACGACTGAGAGGTTCAAGTCCCAGATCCTGTGGGCACATGTATGTGCATGCCCCAAATCCCAGGAGAAGAATGGAAGGGAAGGGATTGTGGTGTGGCCATCCTCCCTGGAGGGTGATTTCTCACTTTCCCTCTCACTCTGTCTCTCTCTGGCAAGTATGCGTGCCTTATAACAAAAGCTATTAAAAAAAAAATTCCTTAGAATTGGAAGAATAGGAAACAGAAAGGTCAGATAAAGAATATTTTTTTTTCAAATTGAGATATTTAACTTGAGATGAGGAGAGAGGAATGAATAAACATGTCTTACATAAAACACAGGGTTATCTTTGTAACAACAGGTCCTCTAGAGTTTTTGACCCGCGAGATAAATTATTGAGTTAGGCCCCCTGAATAGCGAACACAGAAATAAAAATAGGACAAACCAAAATCTCTTTGATTGCTTTATTCATTTTTTTTCAGGGCTTACTACAGTTTAGAACATTTAGTCTATGATTGGGTAGAACAAGCATCAAAGAGGATGACAGCATCAGTCTCCTTCCACTTCCACCTCTGCTCTCTTTATCCTGATGTCACACCAAGTGTGAAAGGGCCTCCTGGAAGGCAGAAAGACAATAATAAAAATAGTAACAGCTTAGATGTAATAAATGCTTTTCGAAAATAATCATGTTCACTACCCTGCTTAGACACCCGTTTGCTCATGGGGAAACCAAGCCTCAGTGTTAAGCCCCATCCAGAATCACAAAACTGGTAAAAGGCCAAAGTCACAACTAGAACACAGGTCTTTGTAGTTCAGGAATTTTTTCCTGAAATATAGAAAATATCCTTAAGATTATAGGACATGCAAATTATACCTGAGTATAAATCAATAGAAGGAAAATGTATGTTTACAAATGAGAACAGGATGGCTTGGGCAGTCAGAATAGTAAGGAATTCCCCCTTGGCAAATGTGCCCCACAAACTGTAATTACCAGCAGTTTCTTCACAGCTTCAGAAGCCTCTGGTCCCAGCTCATCCACACACTTCCTTAGTCCTTCCACAAGATGCTCGACAGAAATGCCCAGCGTTTTCAGAAGAAGTTTTAATGGATCCGTGAAAGGAAGAATGTTGTCCAGAGGTAAAGGTAACTCGTCCTTGACAGAAAGGGGCAATTTGTTGATAAGGAAGGCAGTAGCTGCAGAGCAAAAGAGAACCGAGTCATGCAGTATGTCTGGCTCCTTCTACAGCCTTATCATCTTCCACTCTGGCCATCAATAGCTCCGTTCAAGACCCATTTGGCTTGATTTCCCATAACAACTTCTGCCGCTGGCCCTTTTCTCCTGCTGTTTCATTTCCCTAGAACTCTCTTTCCCCGATTGCTACGTGTCTTTCTTCCTCATATAATTTGGTCACAGGGAAGCCTGTGATGCTCACTGTATCTAACAGAGCACCAGTTGTCACGTCACCTTCTATCCTTGTTTATTTTTCCTTACCATTACCTAAAATATCAAATCTTTAGTTGACATTTTTACTGCCTTTATTCTGTCATTGGAATGTAACTTTCATTAGAATGAGGTGTTTACATTTTGTTCACTAATGTACCCAGTGCTTAGAACTGATCCTGGCATGTGGTAACAACTCGATAGATACTGATAGTGAAGGCACTTTGTATATGGCTGTCTCCACAGCTCGTAGCTTTGAGACCAAAGGAGAGAGGCCTTAATTATCCTCCAATCAAAGACAAGAATGGACCCACCAGAACCCGGAAACTGGTCCCAATCAATTCAACTCAACCTTACAAATCTAATTGAGCACCAACTCAGATGTTATAGCTACATAGACAAACAAGACAAGGAAGCTCTATTAGGAGACCTCACACAAATCTAGTAGACAATAAAAATCTGTGTGTAGCACAGTGTAACATGTGCCATGCTCAACATTATAGACAAACCTGTCTAGAAGGGATGACTAATTTGTATGTAGGAGACTGTTGCAGGAATATTCCCTAAAGAAATACCATTAGAACTATGTCTTGAAGCAAATATCAGGATAATAAGATAAAGAAGAGGGATGATATTTTATGAACAAAATCAATAAAGACATGTCCAGAAGGAGAGCATTTATACAGAATCATGGGCCTTCTTCCAGAAAGGCTGGAACACAAAATTCCAGTGGGCTGGGACCATGGTGTGGAAGATAAAAGAAGGTGAGTCTGCAAAAATAAGGTGAAGTCAGGTGTTTCTAAAGCTTGGATGCCAAACTAATGATTTTGGAATTTTTTCCTGAAAACCATGGAGAGGTCCCAAGATTTTTACAAGGGAAAATTGCATTTTATATGTTTGGCTGTAGAAAGATAACATTCACTTAAAAGATGAATAGGGGTTGCCAGCAGATGGCATAGGAGTTATGTCACTGGATTCCCATATGGCCAATCATGGTTCACGTCCTAGACTCGATGACTTGATACTCATGCTGAGCTCATTGCATGCATGCCCAAGATCCTGGGAGGAAAATGGAGGAGAAGGGATTGTGGTGTGGTCAATCCCTCTGTGGGGTAATTTCTCACTTTCCCTCTCACTGTCTCTGTCTCTGCCCCTCTCTGGTGAACCCATGCACCCTGAGGCTAAAACCTCTGGGGAAAAAGAAAGATGAATGGGAGAAAAAGAATAAAGACTGAGAAGAAATACATATGATAAATATTTTTACAAAAACATGTGCGCAAATACCTAAATTCACACAAGTCCATGACCACAGACATCAGGAGACAGATCCTCCTGCCAGCTAACACCCGCCATAGTTTATTTTGCTTTGAACCCATTTTACTTCTCCATTGGGGTTATAAAAATAGAGCCTGTGCACATATCCTCTCTCTGTATTCTATCTACCACCTATTTTTCCTCCAAAATTCTCCTTCCAAAGGGGAGTACTTATTTCCCTCCACCTTCCTTTCTGCTTCCACCTTAGTTCATAACTGCTTGTCCTGGGATGCTGAAGAACAAAAAAATATCTAAAATTAAATAAAAAATCACAAGCTAAAATGCCGATTAAGTGTGGTCAGCGTCCAATTTCTCCTGATTAATCTCTGTATTTATTTTGCACATTTTGGTGCATTCCTTCTCTGTCTGTATTTATATCTTCCTGAGAGAAGACTCTCATAGCATTCTATTCTCCCAGTGAACAGTGGCCACCATGACACATTTTTCTGATACACCCAAATGTCCTGAAATTTATAATGACTCCTTTCAGAAACAATGGATCAATTTCCATTCTCCTCCAAGAATTCAACTTTCAGATGCTTACTAGAAATAAAACTCTTCACATTTTAGTACACTGAAGAGTTGTATCTGTGTTTCTCATGTGCATTGACAGTAGTCTAGTATTGCAGTAACTTCTATAGAAGTCTTATCACTGCTACTCTACTATAATATTGAGAATAATATTGAGAATAATATTTATGGCTGATTTAAGTCTAAATCTTCCGATGCTTATCCAGTGCCCAATTTATTGAGTTTTAGCCACTCAATAAATATCTATTAAGTTGGTGAACAGATAAATGTAGCTGTCTCAGGAGAATCGACCTGGAAACCTGGCTAAATGGAAAAGAGAGCAAGAATGACTCCATATAGTTTCAAAAGCATAAAAGAAAAAGTTACAAAGTCATATTTTAACTAAAGATGAAGGAAAATAAGAAAAACTAAAGGTGATTGAAGTCTAAGAGTGAAATGTGTTTTGCCAACCTTAGTGGGAGTTGGCTAACTTCCATGTAGGATGTAATAGGGATGGGCAGTGCTGGAATTGCGTTAGAGCTTGGATGTGGTGGGGGAAGATCTGAAATTCCTTCCAGTATTACCATGTTCTGTATCTAAAACTCCTTCTACCATATTCCTCTGCCAGTGAGCCCAAGGTTACTAGCTGTGCTCTTATTAATAGAAAAGTAAAGAAATACCATGTGTTCCGGACTACTTACCTGAGTAGCTACAAATGCTGATTGTCACCAACAGGAAGACAGTGATCAACTTCATGACAGGTCTTTGTGTTATTTTCCTGGAGTCTAAAATTCAACTAGAAAATCCTGCGACTCCACCAAGCCAATGATACTTGCTATACGAAGTGTATCAGCTGCTTTCGCATACACACACATATTTATACACCCAAAGGAGACCTGAATTCCATTCACTATCACTAGACTCACCTCACCTAAGAAAAGCATGAAGCTTAAGTTTCCTCACTAAATAAATTGGAGGGTTTTCCAATTTCTCCCCTTTTCCCATGAGAAACAAAGTTCTAAGTTAAAGCATTCTCAAGTACCTCTTGCACAACCTCCTGCAAAGAAATGAAGGTGAAAGGTAGAGAGCCCTAAGGATATTTCTCCAGGAAGAACATGAAAAAGAAATAAAGGCTTTATACTGGAACTAAAATGAGTGTTTTCCCCCAGTACTCTTCTCACTTAGTATGGAGAATCATATTACCTGGTGAACTACCCAACTGAAGGAACAATCTGCAATCCACATCAGCCCTAGTACAACACAGAGCAGCTTAGTGGCATTTGGTAGCACATTTCTTAGAACCACCTTCCCCTATTGCTACTCACACATCTACTGAGGCAAGATCTCCGAATCATCTTTACCTCTCAGTTATTTGGGGAGTGTTTGAGGTGCATCTTCTCTGTGCTCTCCTATAAAATAATAGGCTCAGTATTCAAAATCAAAATGTATTTCTTTAGAAACTTAGGATTCAATTTTAACTATTTGTATAATCTTGGATTAGACATTTTTAGTGCCTAATATATTGATCTTCTCTTAGTTGGGGACATAAACAAAATGACTGAACTTAAGGTGTGCAACCTTGAGAAAAAAAAAAACATTTTTTTGCAAGACCCTGTCTACACAAACAATTTAGTCACCCAAAATATATAATTGGAACTATTCTGGTGTTCCAATTCCATGTAATAATTTGAAAAACAAAAAATAAAAAATACAGTGCTGGCCACAGGAGCAATCAGCTCCCAAGGCTGTCTTCTTGAAATAAGGGGTAAACAAGGAAGCCCCAAAAAGACTCCATTTATAAACATGAGTTTTAGAGTGCACTGGAGAGTCAGATAGGTCTCACATGTAAGGAAGAGGATAAGAAAGAACCTTGATATGGATAAACAGCAATCACAGTCCACGTGGGGTACCATAGGATGAAACTATTCACATCACTAAGGATGAATCCAGAAAAATGTGAGGAGACACACCATGCCACAGGGTCCTTCAGGTGCAAGGTGAGGGCTGAGGACTCACTAGCCCCTGTCTGAACAGATGGTGTTGCTATGAGGAATTTTTTTAAATAATACAAAGATCAAAGTTTTTATTATCAGGGATTTTGACAAATTGAAATGGATTGCATTCTCAAAGTGTAATACAGGCACTAAAGAGTGTTTTTGTTTGTTTCAGTTTTGCTATAGGGCATGGGTGCTCATGAGAGAAAGAGAGAAAGTGAGAAATCACCATTCCCCCCACCCACCCGATGGGTGGCCACATTACAATCCCCTCTCATCCATCCTCCATTCAGGATTTTGAGCATGTGTGCATAGTCACTTGGAGTAATTTTATTTTTCTTATCTCTCTCTCTTTTTCTTTCTTTCTTTTCTTTCTTTCTTTCTTTTTTTTTTTTTTTTTAATTTGTTGCCATAAAGCACTTGCACCCACTGGAGAGACACAGAGGAAAAATGAGAAATCACATTCCAATGGGGATGGCCACATGTAATTCCTTCTCCTCTCTTCTCCTCTCAAAATTTTAGACACACACAAGCTCCCAGCATGATTTTCAAGCCACAGGGTCTGAGATTCAAATACGCAATCAGCCATATGTGATCCAGTGCCTTAACCTCCATGCCTTCTGCTAGTCCTGAAGAGTGGTTTCTAATGATATTATCAACTATGTCAGGCTCTGTGTTAAAATCCAGTAAGAACAAGATGGGCCTCCAAGATGTTTATAAATTTGCTCTCAGTGACACCAGCAAATGGCATAATGGTTACCACACTGGACTCCCATGTAGTCAACTGCTGTTCAAGTCCCAAACCCAGCTAACTTAAAACTCAATTCGGGCACTTGTGTGTACATGCCCAAAATCCCAAGAGGAGAATGGAGGAGAAGGGATTGCACTGTGGCCATCCCTCCTGGTGAGTGATTTCTCACTTTCTGTATCTCTGTCTCTCTCTATCTTTCTGGTGAGTACATGCACCCTACAGCAAAAATTTGTCTTAAAAATTAGCTCTCAGTTAGATCATAACAAAGCCATAAGAAGATGTGTAATGGCTGTTCTAAAATATAGAGTGGTAGGCATTTAGAGTAGCCATACCCCTGGCATAGGTAATATGCAGGAGGAACAAAGGAGTGTCTGACAGAGAAAGCAGAAGTGGTAGAACTGAAGGCAAATGGCAGTTATTCACGGTCTCTTTCATGAAGCTTATAAATATAAAAAGATAAAGAAATGGCACTTGCAACTTGCTAACTTTTGGGCATTAGTAACAGATGACCCTTGTTAAGTACTAATCCTGGTTTGAGACAGTTTCATGTTCTGTCCACATAATAGCACATGCCACTCATTATTGTCTTTGTTTACTTACCTGCTTATTGTCTGTTTCTTCTGTCACATTGTCAGTCCCATGAAGGCAAGACATTTGCTCATCTGGTTGATTAGCCCTAAATTCCTGGCACTTAATAGATGTTCAGTAAACATTTGTTGAACAACTATGTGAAAACAGTAGTGTTTGATGGTTTTGTATGTGTATGTGTGTGATTAGAAAACCTATATATGCATATTCCTATTCATACATATGTGAATAGTTGCGTGTGTGTATGTGTTTTGTGTGTAGCAGGTTCTAGCCTTTGGACTAAGCCATCCATGTCTCCCACTACGTTCCCATCAAGACCACAAGTCTGTTGAGCTACTTGAAGCCCTGTCAGAAATCTTTTTCCACAGGTGTCCAATAAGCCTCCTGAGAAATAACTAGCCCTATAGAACCAGCAGAGAAACTTGAGACAAAACTGGAATTCCAGGGTTAGGAGAGAGAAGCGATTCTGTCTGTGTAATGCCGTATTTCTCTTGGATGGGCTTCACCCTGGTTCTCATTAGATTTACAACTCAGCCCCTATGAGACAGAGCCTATGACTGAAATATCTGTTTTTACTACATAACCTTGATCTCCTTCTATAAATGAGAACTCTAAAGCTGGATGCATTAAGTTAATTGTCAAGGTCACTTAGACAATAAGTAATGGAGGCAGCCCTGCAACATTTTAAGATGTGGTATCAATAAGAGTCCAGCCATGAATCAAAGCTGTATCAAGGGATCAAATAGGAAGAATTTAACACGAAAGATCTTTTACAAGGTGCAAGAAACTCAGTTAAAGCAACCAAGGGGATTCTTGAACAGGAAGAGTTTATAAAGTAGATTAGTGAAAAGAAGGCAGAGTACCTTTTCAGTGATAGGAGGACTCTGGGCCTGAATGACTTCACATTGCCAACTCCATGCCCACTCGCACATTCACAGTGAATGTCAGTCAGAAAGGGAGACTGTCCCTGGAACGTCACATTGGAAACATCAAAGAGAGGTGAGTCAACCCTGAGATTAGAAAGTGCAGGAAACTGTTGTTGATTCTAGTCCATAAGGGACCTGGGGGAGGTGGGCCTAGGATCTGGATTACATAGTAGAAGCTAGAACAATGGTGCGTCTGCCTAACATGGGTGGAACCACAGATAAAAAGCTTTCTTGGAAGAAGCTAGAGCCATGGAGAAGGTCACTGCCCAAGACGCTTCCTAAAGCACAGAAAAAAAGAAATGCCATGGCATCTACCTTTCTCTCCTTCTGGTCTTCTACCAGTGCCTTCCATTGGATAATCTTCACCAGATGTAATTGACAAGGAAGCCTGGAAACCACAAAATGAAAAACTCAAACTTGTATTATAGCAAGCATGAGAAAGAAGTACAGGGAAAGGATCTGAAAGGAAACTAGCAAATGACAGACCCAAATGAGGGCAGCTCTGGTTTAGTATCCTCCAAAAGGTACTAACATAAAACTAAAGGTGAATGTCAGTCTTCCCATACAACCTTGATCTCCTTCTATAAATGAGAACTCTAAAGCTGGATGGATGAAGATAATTGCCAAGGTCACTTAGATAATAAATTATGAAGGCAGAATTTGAGTTTTTTTCTAATTTATATTTTATTACCTTTAAGCATTTAATAAATAGACAGTTCAAGCGAGCATTTGTTAAATAAATACATTAATTCATGAGGGAAAATGAAACAAAAAGGAAATGAATGTCAGTGTTTTTAAATTAATTTTTATGTGCTTTTCAAATGTAATTTTTGTGGAAATTGAATTTGTAACCAACCAGAGTGGAAATTCGATTAGCTATTCAACATTCAACATGTTTATGGAGGATGTTTGGTGCATCCAGCTTGGCGGTAGCTCATGGGAATATGCAGTGAAAAAGAAACAGAGCTATAACTTGTTTAATTTTAATTGCAGTAAAGAAAAGTTGAAAACAAGTCAGCACTTCATTTTCTTACCTCTTTGAGGGAAATGAGTTATGAAGGTGCCAAGTGAATGCTAATTCAATGTGTTAAACAGGAAAAAGGAAAGATTAGCCTGAGGTTTCATCTACCCCTTACTTCCAGCAGAAAGGGAGACAGTCCTGGAAAGTCACATTCGAAACATCAAAGCAGCCTGTTATTTTTTCTATTCACTTAAATGGCATGGTTCACAAGAGCCAAACCTTAACCTGTGAAAGAGGGGATGGGAGCCTTTAAAAAAAATGTTTAAAGAATTACTTTATTTAACTTTATTTATTTATTTATTTTAATTTGACCAGAGACGGACAGAGTGAGAGTAAGAGCGAGAGCGAGAGCGAGAACAAATGAGAAAGCAAGCTGTGAGGTCCAGGATTCTAACTGTGGTCGGCCATGTAGATTCCAGCACCCTTTACCACCACGTGACCTGCCGGTCCCGAGAGTCTTAACACATATCTTTACA